CCTGTCATTCTTTGTGTTTTCACAGGCGCATTTAACTGCTTTATATTTACTGTAATTATTGATATACTTGGTTTTAAATCCACCAGATTATTATGTGAGTTATTCTTGTTCTGCCTGCTCTATGCTCCCGTTTCTCTCCATTCTTGCCTCTGTTAGGTTGATGTTGTTTTCTTTTTTTGAATTGGAGTCTCACTCTGTCGCCCAGACTGGAGGCCGCCGACAGTGGCCGTTCCCGGTCACCGCAGCCTCGACCTTCTGGGCTCTGGCAATCCTTCCGCCTCAGCCTTCCGAGTAGCTGGAACTACAGGCACGCGCTACCACACCCGGCTAATTTTTTATTTATTGTAGAGATGAGGTCTCGCCAAGTTGGCTCAAGCAGTCTTCCCCCAATGCTGGGATTACAGGCGTGAGCCATCCTGCCAGGCTGTTTCTCTAACATTTGAGCATCATTAGCTGAATTTTTCCTCCACTAGTGTGCACAGTTCTCTGAGCGATCTTTGTCTTTTCTGTGCTAGCCCAGTGTTATTTTATTGTCATACTGGAAATAAAGGCCGTTATGGTAATCGTTGAAGTGGTGTTTTCTTGGGCAGCCACCATTCCTGACAGGCAAGGGAACAGTGCTGGGGAAAAGGATGGTGAGTCTTACCTGAAGGTGGGATGGAAGTTTTCTTTGCAGGAATTTCTCAAGCTTCCCTGATAATAAGAGTTAACTGGAGTGCTGTTTTACATACAGATTTCCTGGCTTCTCTTTTGTTGACGTTGATTTAGTAAATTTGATTTATGCCCCTGGAATTTGTTTTTTTTATTTTTTTTTTGAGTTGGAGTCTCACTCCACTGCCCAGACTGGAGTGCAGTGGCATGTTCATGACCACCCTAGTATAGACCCACTGGGCTCAGGCGATCCTTCCGTCTCCATGGAATTTGTACTTTTAACAATCATGTAATTGCTGTCCTTAGGGAAGTGTGGGGAACACTAGCCTGTGAAGTATGGTTTTGAGGGTGTGGTCAGAAACTGGCAGTGCCCGATTCCTGAATATCCCCCCTAAGTGCCATGAAGGTATTTCTCTCTTTTGTGTACCTTCCACTACTAGCTATTCAGTCCCAGTTGGTTATCTTGTTCTCACCTCAGATTCATCACGTCCTCACCATTTCACCTCAGTCGACAATTTCCATTCAATTTCCAGTCATTCCCGTCCCACACACCCTGAGTCACAATGGTACCAAACCAGTTGCCATTCCATGCTCTTCAGAGCTTTTGACTTTTTTCGCATTGCATTTTCTGCATGGGATGCCTTTCCCCACTACTCAGCTCTTTGCATGTCTACTTATTCTTTAGAATCCACAGTCATTTCCTTAGAAGTCTTCTTTAGCTCCCCCAGGTAAAGTTAATTCTTGCCTCTGTCTCCTAACTTGGATTTCTCTGATCTAGAATGCATGTTACCTTGTAATTATTTGCTTGTCTCTCTCAGTGGGCAGCAGGGACGGGGACAATGTCTTCATCTCTGTATTCCAGCGCCGAGGAGAGTCTAGTAGGAATCTTAGAAATAGTTCCTGAGTGAACTTGAGACTTCTAATAACTTTCTTAAACAATTACTGTTCAATAAAAATATATGGATTTATTTATGTAATTCCAGTTATTCATTCACTAACCGATCCATTTATTTGGTAGATACTTGAGACCCTCTGCACTGTACCCTATGGATTTCTTCACCAGTTTTAAATCTAGCAATGGTGCCCCATTGAGTGAATTGGTGACTATGGCAAATTTTGTATTAAAAATATTTTTTAAATGAATGAAGCCATTCTATTAATAAATATAACAACTTCATTGCCGCTGCAGCCTCGACCTGCTGGGCTCAGGTGATACTTCCCCCTCAGTCCTGTAAAATTTCTCCACTCTGTCCCGTAAAATTTCTACAACATCAGTTTTAAATTTGGCAATTGTGCCTCACTGAATGAATTGGTATGGCAAATTTTTTATTAAAATGCTTTTTAAATGAATAAAACCATTCTGTTAGTAAATGTAACAACTTTATTTTCTCATATATTCAAAAGTGATGTCATAGATCTTATCTGGAATTTGAATAAATTAAAAAATCATCACCAAGAATAAGAATGTCATTATTCAAGCCACCACTGATCAAAAATTGATCTGGCCATTTTTTTCCTCTTCCTCTGAAAGATCATCATCTCAAGTCCTATGCTTGTCCTAACAGTCTGAGTCAGGGGTCAGCAAACAGTAGGACAAAAATTTGGCCAGCAGCTTTTTTCTGTAAGTAAAGTTATATTGGAAATGAACCGTGCCACTTAAGTATTGGCTGTGGCTAATTTTTTTTTGCTGCAGCAGCAAAGTCGAGTAGTTACAACTGAGACAGTATGACCTGCAGAATCGAAAACATTTACTATTTGTCTCTTTCCAGAAAAAGTTTGCTGACCCTGGTCTAAGATATGTTTCCGTATATTCTTTGTCCATTCATAAGGCTAGAACTCCTTGAAAACACAGACTATCTCCTATTTCTGTTTGTATCTTCAGTGTAATCAGTCACACTGTGTCTTGTTGGAAAGAGGTGCTCAAGTTCAGTGAATGTTAAGTAACCTCATCCAGCTGTACAAATAATCATGGGTTCCCCACTCAACACCTTACATAATATAGAAAAGAGCCATTGAAAACCAGATATAGGGTGATTTTTTTTAGTCAGGACAATTTGGAGTTGATTTTTAGGAATATCGACATCAATAGGACAAACTCTGATCTTGGTATGCTGTGATGGGTTGCTTCTGTTCTCATTTTCAGTAAACCAGGGATGAGAAGAGATTAATGCAACTTTTGCTCTCCAATATTATTCTCATGCCTAATGCAGTCCCCAAAGTATTTCTAGGGCTGCCCCAGCATCAGCTGCTGGACAGCGTGGCCAGGGAGGAGCTAAGCCAGCATGCTGGGGAGATTGGCATTCCCCACTCACTCATACCAGCAGGTAAATTCTGTTTTGCAATTTGGTATTATAGGAAAAGAGGAGGGGTTTGGGAAGCAACTTAGCCTGTTCTCTGTGCTCTTTCTACCCTTGTTTGAATGTCCTCATATGTAAATCAGAGAAATGAATGGCATGTAAATTTGTTTTTTGGTCTTTGCAAAAATTATCTTATCTAATACCTCATTTGAGTATGCATTGGAAAGGGATCCAAAAAAATAATCTTGGACAGTTTCCTTAATGTCCAGGCCTTAGGTGGCAAATATGTAGCAAGTTTTCCCTCCCATCTCCTGTCATATCCACTAGTAGATCATTGCATCCTTTCACACAGACCCTCAGAATCTTCTTAAAATGTTCCAGATGGCCACCACCAGCTAGTGAGAATTGGCACATGAGGTGAAACCTTACCTTCCAAAGCTCCAAAGCTAGTCGTACCTGTTTCAAAATGTGATCATCTGGTACTGCCTTTTATTTCTTCCTTATCTCCTCATATGGTGTTTGGTGAAGAACTACAAGACAAAACTGGGGAGGCCTGGCAATTCTCAGCAGAATGCAGAGCACAGACAAAGGTGTCTGGGGACTAGACTGAGCAAAGGAGGTGGGCATAGGAAGGTCCCACGAAGTGAACTTGAAATAGAAAAGAGGGCATTAGCTGGGCTCGGTGGCTCTGCCTGTAATCCCGCGCCTTTGGGAGGCTGAGGTGAGTGGATTGCCTGAGCCCGCGGGTTCGAGACCCGCCTGGGCAGGCGAGACCTCATCTCTACAATAAATCAAAAAATTAGCCGGGCGTGGTAGCGCGTGCCTGTAAATCCGGCTACTCGGAAGGCTGAGGCGGAAGGATTGCCGGAGCCCAGCAGGTCAAGGCTGCGGTGGCCGGGAGTGGCCACTGCACTCCAGTCTGGGCAACAGAGTGAGACTCCAACTCAAAAAAAAAAAAACAAAAAAACAGAACAACAACAACAAAAAAAAAAAAAGAAAAGAGGACATTGGCATCCAGGTCATGACATTGAAGGAATTGCCCAGGTGATTGTGGAAGCTGACAAGTCCAGGAGAATCTGCAGTGTGCTGGCAGGCTGGAAATTCCTTCAGGTGGTGCTGGTGCAGTCTTGAGTCTGAAGGTGATATGAAGGACAGAATTCTTTCCTCTTCAGGGGATCTCCATCTTTTCTCTGAAGTTCCTCAACTGATTGAATGAGGCCCACCCATACCGTGGAGGGGAATCTGCTTTACTCAAAAGGCTACTGAATGAACTGGTAATCACATCGAAGAATCGTCTTTGAAGCAACATCTAGACTGGTGCTTGACCACTAGGCACCACAGCGTAACCAAGGTAACACATAAAATTAAGCGTCAGCATAGGTGATTGTCCACCAGCAGACAGATAGGTGTTTAAAAATTTTTATTATTATATATTTTAATTTCATGATATAAAACTTCTGATTTCACAGGAATTATTGTTTAGAACAAAGGTAAATTTTTAAAGTAAAACAATTGATTTAAAGAAAATTATTAAATAAATATCGGATATAAGTAGTATATGGTAGTTTAAGGAAGGTTGTACTGAAACAATCAATATTAAAGAAACAATCGTAAGCAACAGAATTACTGTACCCTGGTAATAAGTCGTAATAGAAGCGGGGTTTAGGGAGACTAATTGGGAAAACTTGAACAAAGGTCACAGATAGAAAACTGAAATTCATCAACAAATAGTATATGTGAGAATGTTGTGTCTTACTAGAGTAATAAAATAATGCATTTTATAAACATACATTTTGCTATATTTTCTGAATGTGATTTTTCCAGCTATTCCTTTTTTAAAAAAAAAAATGCTTATGCTATTATTTTAAATAGAAGTTCAAAATTTTATTTAATCTGAACAGTTCATCTTTTGTTTTATTATTTCTTTAAAAAATCATAAGCTTAAGAAGTCATCCTTGACCGGACTCAGTGGCTCAACCTGTAATCCCAGCACTTTGGGAGGCCAAGGTGAGTGGATTGCCTGAGCTTGCTGAATCGAGACCAGCCCGGGCAACTTGGACAACCTCATCTTGACAATAAATCAAAAATTAGCCGGGCATGAGAGCACACATCTGTAGTTCTGGCTACTTGGAAGGTTAAGGTGGAAGGATCGCTGGAGCCCAACTGGTCGACGCTGGGGTGGCCGTGAACATGCCACTGCACTCCAGCCTGGGCAACAGAGTGAGACTCCAAAAAAAAAAAAAAAGAACTCATCTTTGGTTTTTAATGTGCAGATCTAATATCTTGGTTAGGTGGGTTTTTGCAGATGATGTGTTTAAAAATATTTTTTACTTTTTAATGGAACTGGGGTTTATTTTCTTATATGTTTTAAAAGATAGAACTGAAATAACTTAATTCCCTTAAATCCCTACACAGTTATTCCTCAGGCAATCCACTTACCTCGGCCTCCCAAAGTGTGGGGATTACAGTCTGAGCCACCAAATCTGGCCTAAAAGGTATTTGTAATGAGAAACTTCAATTCCTGAAATGTGTCTTGAACATTTTTTTTTTTCAGGTGTGAATCACTGTGCCCAGCTCCTTTTTTCCTGTTTGGACGCTACCTTGGGGCATCGAAGTTGTTCTGAGAATGAGTAAACACCGAGAAGGCAGAACCAGAGGAGGATGAGTGAGAATCTGGGTCTGCTTCTGTATTGTGGAGAATTGTAAGCTCGGAAATTAGAATTTTGCTTAAACCTGAATTCATCTGGTCTCCTATCATCAGCAGGAGAAAGCACTTATGTGATGCGGTGACTAACACGTATATTTCTCCACAAACTCTCACCAGCCTCGGTTTGGTAGTCGTCTTTCTGAAAGACAGATCTGGGTGTGCTGTTCTTCTAGTTGAAAAAAACCTTGGCTTCCCACTGCCCTCAGTATACAGGACAAGTTTCTTTTCTTTTCTTTTCTTTTCTTTTTTGACTTGGAGTCTCACTCCATCGCCCAGGCTGGAGTGCCATGGCACACTCACGGCCACCCAAGCGTCAACCTGCTGGACTCTGGCGAACCTTCTGCCTCAGCCTTTCAAGTAGACAGACCACAAATGCATGCTACCATGCCCGGCTAATTTTTTACTTCTTGTAGAGAAGAGATCTCACCAAGTTGCCCGGGCTGGTCTCAAACCTGCGGGCATAGGCAGTCCACTCGCCTCGGCCTCCCAAAGTGCTGGGATTACGGTCTGAGCCACCGAGCCCAGTCTCAAGTTTCTAAAACTGTCATTTAAAGTCTTTAGCAATTGGGTCCACTTCTGTTTTATCGCCTCATTTTTTGCTAGTCATCCCAGGCACTTAGTCTAGGCTTTGGTGTGACCAAACATGTACTCTTATGGATGTTGTGGTTTTGCTCATGTTCTGTCTGCCCGGATTGCACTTTCCCTTTCCATACCCTTTTCTGACTTACTAAGAACAGACATGAGAGAACATAAGTGTTCATTACTCTTAAATGTTAAGCATTACACATCGTTGTCATTCTTGCTGACCCAAGGGCTAAATTGGAGAGTGTCGGCAGGAGGACAGCTTAATGCACCCAGACACTCGATAAAAAGTACGTTTAGGTCCCAAAGCTCTCCTTCCATAGGCATTGTAATATGATTATACCACAAAAACCTCAGAGAGCAACAAGCTTAGACAAAATGGCTTTACGTTATTGCAAAAGACAAATAACAAGAAATAAAAACATATGCACACATGAAAACCATGTGCACAAATGTTCATAGCAGCATTATTTATCATAACCAGAAAGTGAAAAACCCTATATGTTCATCTACTAATGATGGGTAAACAAAATGTGGTATATACATACAATGGAATACGATTTGGTCATCAAAAGAATGAAGGACTGATGTATACTACAACATGAATGAACCTCGAAAACACCATGCTAGTGAAAGAAGTCAGACACAAAAGGCCATATGCTCTATGATTCCATTTATAGGAAATGTCTGGAAATGACAAATCTATAAAGACAGAAAGTAGAGTAGTGGCAGCATAGAACTGGGGGCATGCAAATATTGATGGGTGAAGGCAAAATAGAGGAAAGTTTCTTTCTGGAGTGATAAAAGCATTCTAAAATAGACTGTGAACTGAGCTACTGGATTGAGAGTTCAGTGAAAGTTCTTTGCTACTTAGAAATCAAAACATTAGCTGGATGTCGTGGCATGTGCTTGTAGTCCCAGCTACTTGGGAGGCTGAGGCAGGAGTATCGCTTGAACTTGGGGTGGAGGCTGCACTGAGAGCCAAGATTGTGCCACGGCACTCCAGCCTGGGCAGCAAAGTGAGACCTGACTCAAAAAAAGAAGGAAGGAAGGAAGGAAGGAGAAGCAGTCAGTGGCTAACACAAATGTAAAAATTTTTTGTTTATCTTAAAGATGTGGGATACAATTCAGGGTTAGGCACAAATTGTGGAGTTTACAGCAGATAAAACACAGCAGCAACAACTTGCTAAAACATTCAAATTCCCTCTGCTTGAGAGACAGTAAAAACTGACTAAAATAGGTTAAAATCAGTATGACCAAAAGGAGCTTGCTGACATCACAAAAACAAGCTTGCTGACATCACAACTCACATTTATTTTCTTACTTTAAATTAGAATATTTATTGCCCATAAAGAAGGTTGCTACACAATAATAAAAATTTGATTTCACCAAGGAAAGTACAATAATTTAAAATTTATATGCACCGATATAAATTTAGAGTGGTGGACGGCTACATTCTTTCTGGTAATTGATAGATTAAGCAGACAAAGCATCGCGAAGGAGATATCATGTGTGAGAAGTACAACTAGCAGCATTGAGATAATGAAGACACACAGATTACTAAAGACAACAAGTAGAGAATACTTATTTCTTTGAAGCACATACTTGAGACATTTATGAAAATTGACTGCAAGTTATAGAAAACAAACTTTAACCTTCATTTCAGAGAATGATGTCTTTTCTAAAAAGGTCTATTTCTATCAGAATCTCCATCTGGGGACTGAGTGAATGGACTCTCATCAGCACTCTGCAGGATCTTTTCTCTATGGATGGGGAGTGTGGAATCTACCGTTGATTCCACCCGTGGTTGAAGATGGATGGAGCTATCAGTATTGGCTCACAGAACTGGAGGCAGTCTTCCCATCTGGGTTCCTGCCATAGGCCTTCATTTGAAAGTCCCCACTGACGTGACAGAAGCAAGGTCCAGGAGTGAGAGCACAGGAGTTGCAAACTACCACCCCAATTGCAGTCATATTGCAAGTATCCTACCACACAGTGAAGAGTAAATGCTCAATGGACCAATGTGAACACAAGCGTGGCTTCTAGTTGGTTGGTTTTCATCAAAGTTAGACAGAATTTCCTGCACAACCCACATTTCTATTGCATATTTCATATGAAGTCCCCCTGACCTGAATTTGCCCCTGGGATCCGTTAGCTTCACACACACACACACACACACACACACACACACACACACACACACACAAACACACACAAATTGCTTATGCCCAAGAGCTTATTGTTACTCCTTTCCTTCCACCAATCACCTACAAACTCCAAAATTCACCCCCAAAGCCTTTTCTAATAAAACAACAGCCTTAATATCACCGCAGGGAGACAGATTTCATTTGAACTCCTATGTCCTGTCGATTTGCAATAAAAGATTTTCTTTTCTCAAAAACCCCGTTGCATCATTTTGGCCTCCACTCCTTGGGTCGTGACCCCTTTTGCTCAGTAATATCAGTTTCGATTATTTGAGTTGGCTTCTCGGATGGAAAGCTGTAGAGGCTGACTTTATTTTTTATTCATTTATTTTATTTTATTTTTTTGTTTTTTGAGTTGGATGCTCACCTTGTCACCACGCTCACAGCTACTGTAGCCTGGAAAGGCTCGGCTCAGGCAATCCTTCTGCCTCAGCCTCCAAGCAGTGTTGTTTTGATTTGCATTTCTCTGAAGAGGAGTGAAGCTGAGCACTTTTTCATGCTTGGAAGGATCAAGGCGGGCGAGGGAAACCTCATTCAGTATAACGGGCAGGAAAGAGCAAAGGAAGGGTGGAGTTTAAGGTTTCTGGGTATTTTTTAAGTGTGTTCATTGCTATCAGTGTATCACTGCTCCCAGGCCTTCTTAATGGACAGCTTACTATGTGTATGCATGCAGAACATGCTTCTATATTTATTTCTCTATCTATCTGCGTACACTCAAAACTGTGAGGTCACACCACTACTTCTAATTCCAATCAAACATCCACAGAGTTCATTTAGTTCTCTCCCTCTCCATAGCTATAACTGTCTTCTCCAACAGTGAAAACTCTAACTCCTATTATAATTATCAGAACAAGGAACACTTGTGGTGTTTGATAGGCTGATATTAATTCTTCCTCTCTCATTTGGGGTGTACAGGGCAGTAATTATGCAACATGCTTCAAAAGAGGGAAATGAATTATGTGATAAGATACTGTCTTGAAATAAAAACCTGACTGATTTTACATCTTTTATTTATTTATTTTTGAGTTGAAGTCTCAGTCTGTCGCCCAGGG